AAAATAATCATGAAGAAATAATGAGAAAATATTTAATTTTGGCACTAATCTCACCCCATAGGGATGGGATACATTAATTGTTTATACGACAATTCAACGAATGTGCGCTGTACGACGATTTTAGGGTAGATCGATACCTGACGTCGTCCCAGCCACAGTCAGCTGGCGCACGCGTGATAATAAAATAATTGCGATATTTACAATATATCTTGAATGCGGCATAAAATTAAATAAGAGAAAAGTTGTGAAACGCGTTTTTCAGATTCCTATAAATCAGGACAAAAATGCCAATCTTTCACAGAAATACGATCTGTTGGGGGTATTATTAAGCCAACCGATAACAAAATTCGACCGAATTCGTCGTTTTTGTGTGGAAAAATCCCTTAAATACGAACACCTAATTACACGAAGAACATAGAACACTTTCCTGTAGTATTCGAAACCAAAAATTGTCATTCCAGCTCAGCATCCAATCAGCGACGGCCTTACAGTTAGATGACAATTTAGGTGATAACACATGCATGTGCCAGTTGTTTTCAGAAACACTAATGAGCAAGAATACACCTTAAATATAATAAAACCTGTAGCATAAATTGTATTACGGAGTTTATTGTGGTATCACATTTCTTCAGTTATGTATTTCATCAAGTGAATACTGTTTGCTGGACAAATAAGGGTTTTTATTTGCTGAAAAATGATGTATTGTTTTTAGTATCAACGTGATATGTCGCAAAAACAAGATTAACATGCTCAACGTTCTCGTTAACTTATTTTGTCGGCATCAGTATCGTCATTTGTCCTTGGAAGGCGAGTGATTCACCTCCCACATTTTGCTTTCCTAAAAGTCTTTTATAATTATCCAACGACTGAATACACCCTACAGCATTAATGGTTCCTATACTCATTTGCATCTATGTACAAGCTTAGCCAATAGATGCACCTGACTCATTGACCAACTGACTGACTTTTGACCAACCACTAATTCTAATTATTGTTGAGTGATTATTCTAATTATTATTGAGTTAATTATTCTTTAAAAGAATTAAATAGATCTAATATTAGAAGCAGTGAACATCAAGTGATGCTTTAATTAATGAATCAATACAGTGCACTGACCTCAACATATAGCGGCAGAACTATTAAAATAAAATATTAAAATTAATTCATTGCAATTGTTTTATTTTTAAAGAAGAGCCTTCCCAAATAAAAGAAATTCTAATATTTAAAAAAATAAGAGTTAGTCACTAAACTATGTACTTTCACACTCAAGCAAAAAAAGAGACATTTTGGTGAACTCGCCTTGCACCCTGAGTGTTTTGTTCTTTGCAGTTTTTAAAATATATCTTTCTCAACGCTCGTCGTTGATTGGTCGATGCGTCACAGAGGTACTACTTACAAAGGCGCCCACCAAAACATTGTAATGTTTTAGTATCCGACGAAAGCGTATGCGTTGTTTGTAGATTCTGTCTGTTTTCAAATTTAGAAGCTCATATTTTACTTTCCGTAGCCCAAACATAGTGGCAGTAAGGACGAGTTAGCCGAATGCCGGAGCACGTGAACTACGGAAGCCAAGTTGTTAGTTCATGCGCGAGTTGAGCGGGATTCATGGTGGAGCCTGGCTGATCAAAATGACTCAAAGCACTATTTTCAGTTCGTTGTCAACATCCAATGACTTTTTATCATGAATTAATGAGCTGTTTCGTCACGCAATCAAACTTTTAGGGTATATAGATTTATTCCACACTCTTCTATATATGCACATATTATCTATAGAGATCGCTTCGCGAATGGCATTTGGCTGCTCTCGATATAATCTAACAAAATGCATTGAGCTCTATGGCTGTTAGACAAACGCAATTCGAATCCGTTCAAGCCAGAAATATTTTCACATTAATCCCCGGAAAACTAGACAAACAAGAATTGTAGGAGAATTAATTGAGTGAAATAAGTGTTTAATATTTTTTTCCCAACTAGATACATACACAAGACGTTGTTTCCCGCAGTGAGGTTACCTCGCACAACATAGTTGCCGATAATATTTACTTTTATTTACGTTTCAACAGAAGTTATACATCAATAAATAGTTATGTTGTCACATACAACTTTGTTTTCGTTTTGTAGTAAGTTTACAGGTAAGACACTTCAAGTTGTTGAAAAATAGCTGTGTATAGTGAGGCGATTGGCCACATAATTGAAGGCTGTCTGTGGCAGATTTACTGTTGCGTAAAGCGCTAAAACCTATAGGAGAAATTGCTGTGGGATATGGCGTGATTAACGGCACATTCAAACTCGAACTGTCCCATGACGTGTTTCTAAGTCACCTGTTATTTTAGACCGATTACGTCATTACATAGCCATTTCGTTTCACATTAACCTTAGATCATATCCGGTAGTGCTACCACCATTGCAACATTCCTTCCCATGCATCACGTGACTCGTTCTTCTGTGGCACAATTTGGATTTGGCGAGACCACTAAACAGTACTTAATTTCACACACTCTAAACAGTACAGAGAGTTTCACACAATTCCAAAACAAGAAAGAAGTTGGTATATTCTCCAAATCTGACGCAATTGTTTCAGCAATGATGTTTCCTACTTGTTGGTCTGCAGTGGTTTTGGCATTGATGTGCAGCTTTGAGAATGTCAACGCGACAGGTGAGTTTAATTTTTGTAAATAATGTGAACAATGTTTGAGAAAAAAAAACACATTGGACATTGTTAAATAGAATCGTATGTAGTAGTTATTGAATAGTTTGGAAGAAATTGTAAACTCCGCAAACATGTTTTCAATGAAAGAACCCTCTCCAAATAAACGGTCATTTCGTAGAACATAGAAACGACTAAACGCGGGTAGTAAAGACCTACAAAGCACTTATAAAGCGCGGCTCCGCAATCCCAGGGATTTTACCAGTGCGTCATGAGAATACCACAATACCACAATTTCGTAAGCTCTAACATCATGCATTATGCCATAATTCGATTTTAAAGGACTTCTTGAATCGCGATCAACGCTTTCGGGGCCCCTCATTCTTCTTAAAGCTGTTTTCTCACTTGCATCATAGATCTCCTTATTCAGTTCCGTGCTTGTAACGAAAATTGTGGTTTATTTGAATGACATATACACAATGTATAGTATCGCACAGTACAACGTGTGCCATAACGTGTCTTGTCAGCTAGGCATGCGCAATAATGACGTTATGCAACGTGAAAAAAGGCTCCAACAAATTAAAAAAGAAAATAAAACTTCGTGATACGGCTGTGTGGCACGGCATATCCAGTACCCTGAGAGACGTTCGCATATTCGAAGCATATTGTCGGGGATCGGAGTTATTTGTTGACGAGCCCCTCGTACGAACCCCGCCATCATCATGA